TGTAATTTTTACTTATTGCCAGGAAGCCTGGAAGTTTCAGATTTGGGATTCCCCAGATGTGTCAGTTTACAGAACTTTTGAGAAGATGTCTGTCTCGGAGTTATTTGTTAGATTGGAGTTTTTCTGGAACGCTGACAATCATATTGAGGGCAGCAATTTGATGGTCCACAAAGCCAACCACTGAATATTAACCTGAATTGAAATTGAAGGAATGGAAGTAACTGATGAAATCGATGGAATGGAATTGACCTCTTGTCATTTGGCATTGAAGTCAACTAAATAATGGACAGACATTCAATGTGATGAATATGACTCAATGATTGACAAGTCGTATTCAAGGATATGGCCTTGAATGGTTGGCATCTTATAGCTGCTTGCATGCTTTTTTTTTCATGTGCTATGCTTTTCTCTAGAAGGACTTTCAAAGAGATCAGTTAATGTTAGCTTCTTCACCTTAATCATCATTTATAACCATGTATACTAGGTTAGGCTGGAGGTTAGTGAGTAGCCCATGTTTGTTCATTAGATTTCATTCCTCCTGGGTTTGTGGGTGCTCCATCGTGGGCGGTTTTCAAAAATAGACTGGTCAACCATTTGACTGGAATGGTGTAGGTCTCCTGCTTGAGCAGGGAGTTGGACTAGAAGACCTCTAAAGTCCCTTTTAGCCCTACAATTCTACGATATTCTTATATCTAAAACTTTTGCATTTGTTTTTTTTTAAGCAGCCATATTTAAAATCAACTAACACAAAGCCTCTGAACATAACCGTATCACTTAATTATAATGAGGAATAGTCATATATTTGTCTATTATTTTTAATATCCAATATCCCTAACAATGAATTCACCATTATGAATTTTCACTGGGATTTCGAGGGAGCTTCTTTCATACCTTTGGCTAATGAGGGGTCTGAATCCCAGACTCCCTTGGCTGTGTTCAATCATCTTGGGAGCCCCGGTGGTTCCACTGGTGAAATAAACCAACATGGGATCATTCATCTTGGTTTTCGCACAAGTATGGTTGGCAGGTGCCTCTCTGTGTAATAAAAAACATCCCAGGAATTGAAACGCATTAGGAAGTCAGATTATTGAAGCAGTCACCTTCAACCCCCACCCACACCCCATATGATAATAATATTGCTGGTTATCATATTCGTTATTGCTGGTTATTTATTCATCTATCCCTCTGTTAATATTCTGGCTTGAAGAAACTCTTTTTAAACACGTTAACACTTTTAACTAAGGTTACTGATCCTTATTTAGAGTTGCTGTGGATTGAACTTTGAAGTGTCTTTACGGAAAACAGGGGTTCTAATTTTGGATTCTTCCTCCCATTTTCAGTATAAGTAGGCCTTGACTTACAACCATCTGTTTAGCGATGAGTTTGGCTGCTTGGCCACTGACATATATTTTTTGACGGTTGAGGCCACCTTTTGAGACTTTCCAACAAGCCAAGTCAAGGGGGGAAGCCAGAATTGCTTAAGGACCACCCAATTCACTTTGTGGTCTTTCAATTCACTTTCACAATTCACAATTGCAGCCTTAAGGACTATCTGTCCTCCGACATAAATCTAGACGGACCTCAAAAATCATGTAACTTGGGGAGGGGGGATTTTTTTTTTTAGACAGTCAGGCTAAAACCAAACTGCCCTCTTGGTGCATTTATTTCAGGCTCCACCAAGGAAAGATCACCACGTGAGGAAGGATATAGCTCATCAATTCCCGATCGTCCATCCTGAGAAATAAACTCTCCAAGATGCTCACCTGAGCAGCTCATCGAAGTTCAGCCATCCTTCTCGCTTGCCTTCAGAAGACACCAGCAGCTTGGTTTTGAGAGAGGTACACCGTGGGGTAACATAATCCACTACAGATCCTAAGGCCTCTGTAGTGATGAGGCATTTGGCTCCCGAAGCTTGGAGTCGGTACTCAATGTCCTTAGCAGTTAGTTGCGATGTTGCGGGGATGGCCACAATTCCTGCAAAGGTTGATAAGGTAGGGAATCTGTACTACTCATAGTCAAAGCAAATTCATCATTATCCTCTCCATTTAATGACCCCATAATCAGTGGTGGGATTCAAAAATGTTTACCACCGATTTGGCGGGCATAGCTTGGTGGGCACGCTTTGCATGCGTACATACACTTTGCATGCGCCAAACACGCACTTTGTCAGTCGCCGCTGCTCATCGTCACTACCAGCTTGGCAGAACCGGGCCGAACCAGTAGCACGCCACCACTGCCCATAATCCCTTGCGGGGTGGAGTCTGGGCAACTGAATGGAGCTGAGTGTTTACTGGCCGGATGCCCTTTCCTGTCGCCGATGCGGAGTTTTTTTTTCAGCAGATATATCCTCATCGTGCCCAGAGAGAGAAATATCTGCCTCTACTTAGGATTGAACTCACAGCCTCCTGATTGTGAGGTGAGAGCAACATCTCTAGGCCACCACACTACTCTTGGTCAAAGTAAATTGGCAATAGATAATTTCTATTTGGCAAATGAATGAAGGAATGAATGAATCAAAGGAATTCAAGGTGCCCTGGAAGAGACGAAGGGACTCTCTTGGGCTCAGCCTGGTCATTCCCTACAATTATTTTACTTCTGTTTTGTTTGCACTCTTTTCATGTCTTCCTTATTAATCTTGTAAGCCACCTAGAATAGGCAAGACAGGCAGCAAATCAATTTAACAAATAAAATAAATAAAAATGACATTTTTTTTTTAAATTGACCTGTCCTAATGCAAGCCGTGATCACCAGCCACCATTCTGGAATCCGGGAGAGAATGACCATGATTCTGTCGCCTTTGCATAGTCCACATTGGTCGGTGAGGATATTGGCCACTTTCCTGGAGTGGAGCCCCATCTCTTCAAAGCTCCATCTGACCTCACTTCCTCTTCCATTGATCCACCACAGGGCTGGGTTGGGCAATCTTTTTCCATCCTACAAAATGGATCCCCACAAAACAGAGAGAGACATATTTACTCTTCTCTTAAAGCTGCATTAATATTAAACGTTTCTGTGCAAGCACAGCCCGATGGACAGAAACCGGTGTGGTAGCTGACTTTGGACTTCTAGCTTAGTTCAATATCCTCTGTCCATATTCCAAATGAGAATGTGTTCTGACCAAGGCTTCCATAATTAAGCACACTCTTAGTTAAAACAACTCTTTTTTTATTTCAACGCTGGGAATTATTTTCATTCCCAGCCTGTAATGAGTCCTAAACGGTCCCTTGAGATAAGCACCCACCTTTCTTTCCTTTGAATTGCTGCCAACAACTAGAGTGCCAAATGAATTATAAAAAAAACAACCAAAGTATGAAGTCCACACAGAGCTTCAAGGATTAATCCAAACAGAACGAATGACTTTGCTTCATGCAAAGGTTTCTTCACCTTTGCCTGACTTTTTTACTTTATTGGAGGGGCAATCACCTCCCAGCCTTACTCCCGAGTCATCCCTTTTGTCTTAGCTGTTCTTCCTTCTAGAAGTTCTGCGCATACGCGCACTGGGAACTGGCTCTCCTGGGTCCTCTGCCTTGCTGCTGCCAGACTCCGAAGGCTCCAGAGGCATCACCCCACTCCCAGATGGTCCTGACCCCATCTCTGCATCGAACTCAGGACCCTCATCCGAGTCCTCTCCAGACTCCCGGACTGGTCCCAGTTCTTCCCCACTGTCTGATTCCGCTGCTGTTTGCACCGGCTGCCAGTGAACCACAACAGAATGGGACAATTCACTATAGACCAACTCACCATGGCCAACTTACCGTGGGACAATTCACCAAAGGATAATTGAACAATTCAATTTAATCATTTGAAATAAATTTGAAAAATATTTTAATTTTGTTCCCTCCCATTTCATTCTGTCTCTCCTTCTGCATCCTTTCATTCATGATTCTAGGCTTTCTTTGATGTTGGTGTAATTTTTGTCCCGCGGCGAGTTGGCCATGGCAAATTGTCATAGACCCATTCCGAATGGGGCTGTGATTCCTGGTGGCAGCTACAGATTACCCTCGACTTACAACCACAATTGTGAACAGCGTTTCTATTGCTAAACAAAGTCACGCCCGGTTTTAGACTTTTTTTTTTCATCATGATTGTTAAGAGAATCACAACAGTTCAGGAAATCATGTGGTCATTAAACACATCCAGCTTCCCTCGTTGTCAGAAGCCAGCTGGGAAGGTCATAAATGATGATTTTATTGTCTGTCTGCCTGCCTGCCTGCCTACCTGCCTGCCTGTCTGTCTGTCTACAGTATCTATCTATCTATCTATCTATCTATCTATCTATCTATCTATCTATCTATCTATCTATCTATCATCTATCTATCTATCTACATTATCTATCTATTTATCTATCTACATTATCTATCTATCTATCTATCTATCTATCTATCTATCTATCTATATTATCTATCTCTATCTATCTATCTATCATCTATCTATCTATCTATCTATCTATCTATCTACATTATCTATCTATCTATCTATCTATCTATCTACATTATCTATCTATTTATCTATCTATCTATCTATCTATCTATCTATCTATCTATCTATCTGTCTGTCTGTCTGTCTGTCTGTCTGTCTGTCTGTCTGTCTGTCTGTCTATCTATCTATCTATCTATCTATCTATCTATCTATCTATCTATCTATCTATCTATCTATCCATCCATCCATCTATCTTATTTGCCGCCCATCTTGTATCCAATTACTCAAGGGGTCCTTGGTGCTCTCTGAGTTTGCTTGTTT